CTTAGAATATTAATTAAACTATGTCAAGAATTAAATATTCCAATTAAATTGAACTCAATATTCCACAACAAAATTCAAGCAAAAGCAAAAAATACAAGCTGGCCATAGTCATACCAGGCCTCATGAACCTGGGCCACCTGACTAGGGTCTAGTCAGTCACTACCATGTTGGGGCCATGCTATTGAGTATTTTAAAAACTTTAGAATTTTTTTTATTTTTATGTAAAGTTTCATTGCATACTTTGCTGATCATAGGTGCCAATTCTAACTCACTATGAATATTAATAATGAGATTAAATAACTTATGAATTGTGCATGATGATGAGCAACAGTTAATTTACATGATTAGAAAACCTTGGATATATGTACTGTATATATATCCTTAAAGTTTTTCTAATCATGTAAATATACACAGTGTAATTGAAATTGGTGCCAATAATTTACAGAGATATTTTAGGATCAAAAATACACCTAAAATCCTCTGTAAAGGTTTCTCAAAATCTATTTTGTTTTTTCAAGATATGGCCTGCCAAAAAATTATGTCAGAAATAAATTTTAAATCACCTGCCAGCATAAAGGTAGCTATTTGGTCACTGTAGCATGTGCCATTATATGCTTTAAATTTCTAATATTTTCTATGCTTTTTTTTTCTTTCTTTGTTTTTACTTACTGTTTTAGTGGAAAAACAAATTGGAATACTTATTCCTTTTATATTCATATTTAAATAAGCTGATTTTCCAATTGGGTTTTTGGGATGCAATTTTAAAAAATTGTAGACATATAAATTCCCACTGTCATCAGTTTTTGTCTTTCCTTAATCTCAAATGGAGCTAGATAGATGAAATTCGAGACCAGATATGGAAATCTTAGGGGCAGGAGGCTCTGTTCAACTATATATGAACTTCCGATGCAAACTCGAAGTCATGTTATTTTAATTCAAAACTTTTCCCCTGAAATCAGTTAATAATGAGTATGATGAGGGCAAGACACTACAGTACTAATTTGAGGTGGAGAGCATATATTTTAAATGAAATAAATTAAAAATATGATTAAAAAATTGTGGCCTGGCATTGTGACAATTTCACAATAAATAATTGCTCATAGAACTATAAATTTCCACTGTCGTCTGTGTTGTCTGTCCTTCCTTAATCTTGAGAACAGAGTTAGATAAATGAAAGCTGAGATGAGATATGGAAAGTTTAGGGGCAGAAGATCCCAATTAACTGTATATGAACTTTGGATGCTAACTGGAAGTCATATTATTTCAATTCAAAATTTTTTTTTTCAAAGGTGTTAGCAATACAGATCTTTCTAACAGGAAAAGTATGATGAACAGGGGCAAGACATTTAATGACAAATTAATAAATATAATCTTGTATAATGAAAATATTATTAAAATTATGGTATTTGAATATTTAATGTATATATTAACTTTAATTTTTCCAAACAGTTAAAACAAATTTTATACACAATATATGCACAAAATCACTTTTTAAATTAATTTTATTCATCTCTTACCCTTGAATTATAAATATTTATTATATTTAAAAATGATATTTAAAAATGCTTTTTAAAGTTTTATGTAAAAATATTTGTAAATTATACAATTACCCATACATTTTAAAAAATAATGATAGAAATAAAATAGTTATTCAATATTGTAAAATAAATATAAAATTTTAAAGAAAAGTTTCTTGATCTATTATAAAAAATATAAAACATGACATTGCAAACAATCTAAATTTAATAGTAATGCAATATTTAAACTATGGGATGATTACGGTATATAATCAATTTTTCATTGTTGAAACAAAAACTACTCATTTGGAAAGTTTTTCTATTTATTCAACATATTCTTTCTCATTCTATTCATTTATTAGTATCTGATATTACAGAACTTTAGCACTTATGTCCTGATTAGGAAGGTTCAAATGAATAAATATCCTACATATATATATTTTTCCCATGATTAACCATTTTGCTTATTTTGTACTGTTTATTTTTTTTTAGAATGTCTTACTTAAAAATATATTTTTTATACATACCATTTATAATAAAATTATTAAATACATTTTCCTCTGTATACATAACCATTTATTTAAAATAATGAATACAATAATATGTCTATGATGATGATATAAACATCAATAAATATATGAAAATTATAATAAATAAAATAACTAAACACTAGATTCTACTGTTGCTTCAAGAGGGGGAACAGATTCTTTTTCAGATTCATTTAATTCTTCTGTTTTAGATTTCTTCTCTGGAATATTTTCTGTATCATCTTCCTCTTTCTCATCTTCACTTGACTTTCTTTTCTGTCCATGATTTAATTCTGCAAATAAAAATAATTTTTGATGAAAGAGAGATTTTTTAAAAATTTGTTTGAATAAATTGTTAAAATTATAAAAAAAAATTAAATGAAAACAAATATTAAGCTTTTAATGTAATTATATTTTAATCTTTAGAAAATTATTTATAATTTGCTTTTTACATTTGATTAATGAAAACAAAAATTCTTGCAAATTTAAGTATATGTACAGTTTTATATCAACAGAAATGTAGTTGTTCTCTAGTATAGTTAGGTAATAAATATTTAAATTTTAGTTATAATTTTTGTAATTTCTTTTAGATGGAAATTTATAACTAGGCTATTGATGCTTCTTTATAAGTCAAAACAATGAAAAATTGCCTGAATTATCATTGATTAGATTTTTAGCATAAAAAATCAATGGAGATTTTTGTGAGGATTATTATTTATGCTTGTTAATGAGTAACTTTTTTCATGCAAATTAACAATTTCTTTGATTTTTATGTAGATTATGATTTCATATAATTTAAAATGTTATGTTACAAATTAATTTCTTTAATTTTTAAAAATTCATTCATGCATGTTTTCATTAAAAAGTTTCAATAACAATTTCTTTGATTTTTATGTAGATTATGATTTCATATAATTTAAAATGTTATGTTACAAATCAGTTTCTTTAATTTTTAAAAATTGAATAATTAATTTTGACAAAAACTTTTCTGTTTAATTTTAGTTGCCATTTGATGAATTACTTCTAATGGTACAGACAGTGCATTATTTTCTATCTTCATGCGTACTCCAGTGGGCAGCACTTTAGCCCTACAGAAAGCAGGTAGTCCTCATGATGAGGATCCTACCCTGAGCCATTCTTCACTTCCTGTAGCAAATATTTTGAATAGTTTAGACAAAGATGAATTTGGAATCAGGTTAGAAAATTTTAAATTTATTTATTTANAAATGAATTTATTTATTATATCTAAATATATAAAATTACTTGTCCTGACTGAACCACTGATTCATCATTGCCCATAGCAAACCACTGAACCTAAAGAGGTGAAATTTGGTACACAGTTAGGGTATGTCATGGAAACACATGCTAAGAAGGGATTTTTCAAAATTTCCCCGCAGGGGAAGAGGGAGAGCATTAAGGCTTAACCTGAAGAACAGCTTCTACTGTACTATTTTAGTTGCAATTTTTTGTTTTCAACTACGTTTAGTTTTCATTGAGTACTTAGATGTATTAAATTGATAACATTTCAGACATTTGTTATAAATGTTTTTATATATTTCAATTTTTTAACCAAATGTTCAAACTGTTTTAAATTCGAATTTGTTATTGCATATTGGTTCGATTATAGAATGATTGTAAACATTCCAGAAAATTGATCAAATTGAAAATAGTTTGTTTGATTCTCGGCAATTCTCATCATTCTCAGCGGTAGGTGTTATATAACAATTATTATGGTTGTTGAAATACTGAATATAAATGGGGTTTGCTTGCAAAAGCCCTGCTTGTAAAGTCACGGGTAACAGCTAATTTAATATATATATATATGTTATTTTTATTATCATATAATCATAAATAAATAGCTATATATAACTTTTTTTTTAATTAGATGACTGGGAAATTCCTTTTGAAAGTATTAGAGATTTGCAGTGGCTTGGTAGTGGTGCTCAAGGTGCAGTTTTTCTTGGTACATTAAACAATGAATTGGTTGCAGTTAAGAAAGTAAGAGATAAATCTGAAACAGATATAAAGCATTTAAGGAAATTGAGACATCCTCATATTGTTGCATCAAAGTAAGTTTTTTATTTTTTATTAAAGACTATATGTTGCATTGTATAAGATTATTATAATAGTATTGTATAAAACTATTAAAGACTTGAGTTTTTTTTGTCTGCCTGAAATAAAATGTAGCTTAAAAGTAAAATGTTTTTGAAGCAATGTTACAAAAATTTATAATAAACTATTTTAATTAAAAAGCAAATATTACTTCAAACTAGAGAGAACAAAATAAAAGTTATCAGAATATTGGATTATCTTGTTTTAATTCATCTGAATATTGAAATGTTTTAATATTCTAATGCTCTGTCCTTTTTAAGTATGAAAAACTGTGTTGTTCTACAAAAATGTTTTGCTTTTTAGTTAAAATATTTAATTATTAATTTTAAAACATTGGAAAAATATGTTTCACTTCTAAATTATCATTCACATGTTTTTATAGACTATTTGTTTAGAATATGTGTATACGTTAAAATCTGCTAACCTGTTTGCAGTTCATTATTTTTCTTTTTTAGTATTTACAAGTATATTTTACATAATAATTCTCTTAAGCAAAATATATTATATTTTTCATTTGTTTAACAAAATATTGATATATAATTATGTAAATTTAGTCCTTAAGAATATTGTAATGAATAAATTATACTCTATATTGTAAGAATATAGTTATGTAAGTTTAATGTATATAATAATAATTGTAATTCAAAAATTATAAGAAAAGTAATATTCTGCTTTAAAAACTTGCTGTTTGAAAGATCACAAATGAATTAATCTCATTATTCCTTGAAGTGTACTTAATTAAAGAGTAATTACATAGCTATTGTATTGGATGTGTACTATTCACATATTTGCCTTTTATATTTTTTAAGTATATATACAATGATTATCCAGTGAAGTAACTGCATCATTATTGCTCTTCAAGTATCCTGTAAACAATAATTCAATGACAACCAACTAGACTTGTATAAAACTTAGTATCTCTTACTTACATAACATTACTAACAGAGAAAATTAATTATTTATATTTTACAAATTTGTTATAATTAATACAAATAATACTAAGAAGGACAAGGAAAGACAAACTAGATGACTCAATTGATGATGATCTTTAATTCAGCAGAAAATTAAAACAAACTTTTCAATTTACACTGTGCTCGAGTTCATTTAGCATGCAACATTGTAGAATATAACTGTCTATTCTTTAATTTAAATGTGATGATAGTCGACTAAGATGATCAAAAACATCATATTGAAATATCATATTGGTCCAAATATTTATCAATGTGAATGTTTTTATAACTATATGTGGTACATGTCACTCAGAGTTAACCTGACACTAAAATTAGGTGCAGCAGTTGTTTAGAAATGCTAACTGGTAGCCATATTGTGATCCTAGCATGTTGCAGTCCACAGCTTGCAAATTGTGTACAGAATTGTATTTGGAGTGATATTTATGTATTCAATATTATTATAGGTTTAGATTTTATAACAAAATGTTTTAGACAATTATTAAAAAAAAAAGAAGACAGTGAAAATGAAACACGGTTTTGATACAATAGTCATAAAACTGCAAGTACACTTTCTGGAATACATAAGATATATGCAAGGGAGCCTACTACTTGGTGCATAGGACGTTATCTCTATTTCACTCTATAACTTTTATTAATATAATTTTTGTTGTTTTTGTCCACATCAATACAGGTTCCTGATGTATATATTTTTTTTCTATAAATTAAACCCTTTGAGTACAATTTTCTGATTGACTAGGAGTGATTTAAGTATGATTTGTAAAAGTTACTGAGAGCAATCAAAAATTCATTTAGAATGATTGATTCTTACATATTTGTAAATACAAATTTACAAATTATAAAAAAATTTTATTTTTAACTATTTTGAAAAAAAAAATTTAATGTGTGTAATTTTCATAATCAATTGCACAGGAAAAAAAATAATGAAAATTCCACATATTCTTTTAAAAGTTACAACAAGTATTTTACATTTATTATACAAAAGTACAACAAGTTCTTTTAAAAGTTACAGTTATGAAAGATTGTTGGCAAAGACACAATCACAAATGGCTTTAATTAATGTTGTATTACTAGCAACTCAGACAGAACAAAGGTTGAATGTTTGAGAAGGCTGAAGAGCACAGTGGCAATGATATAGAAAACAGGAATGATAACAATGAAAGTGATGAAGTATTGTTTCAATGACATTTTAAATTTTTCTAAATGCAAATAAAATTAATAATGAAAGGTCTTATATTTAATAAATTAATATCTGTATATGAGTCAAACTTTTCTCACAAGGCAAGGATACCAAAATTGGGAGTTGACTTATATTTGGGCCAATATAATATACATTAAATGTAATCAAAAATAAAATAATTATAAAAAATATAAATATATTAAAGTGCTGTAATAAAGTAATTATTAAAAAAAATAAATAAGTNAAAATTTATGAAGTAAATTTATATCTATTTATCTACTGTAAATTCAGTTGATTTCAAAATGAGCTTCAAATTTGAAATTTTTCAGCTGTCTTTGAAAAAATACTGATTGATAAATATATACAGTATATATGTATATATATTAAAAAAATTTATATATATATAATTTTTTTGTTTTTTTACAGAGGTGTTTGCACTCAGGCACCATGTTATTGTATTGTGATGGAATATTGTCCCTATGGACCATTATATGAAGTACTTAGACAAGGAAGAGAAGTTCCACCTGCTGTTGTAGTAGAATGGAGCAAACAAATTGCCTCAGGAATGAATTACTTACATTCCCATAAAATCATTCATAGAGATTTGAAATCACCAAAGTAAGTATAATTCAAATATAAGTTAATAATTATAGTAAAAAGAAAGTTCTGTAATTAGAATTATTAGAGCCCAAGCAATGAAAATTTTTTGTTGAAGTGAAATAGAAAATATAAAATAGACAAAAGTAACTAAGGCTATAACTGATTAAACTGAATACTACTACTGAGAAGAATCAATTAATCTTATAGATTAAAATACATTGTTTTATATTCAAGTATTTTAACTTTAGAATTAGATACATTTATATTTCACAAATCATATGATAAATTACAGTATGATATATAAAGCTTAACAGGATGTAATAAAATAATTAATTTAAAAGTAGATAAAAAAAGAAAGTTCAAAAATAACCAAATACAGTGTGTCCATAATTTATTCATCTGATGTAGAAACTAAATAGAGAAGAAATTATTACAGATATTGAAAAACAGTTAATTACACATTGTTAACTTAAAAAGTTTTTTCTGATGGCAAGTTCTTTAGCAAGAAATCCCTGAATCCTTGGATTGATCAAGATGGGCCAATTACATGGACACCAAGATTCCCTGACATAATCTCCTTTGGTTTCTTCTTGTAGTACTACATTAAGGACAAAGTGTGCAATAAAGATAATTATCACATGAAGGATATATGGAATGGGATTGCTCAGGCTAAGAACAGAGGAGATGTTAAAAAAAAAGTTTGGAGTCAAAAAAGGAGTACATATGGACTTTTACTAATAACCTGTCATGATTCTAAAGGTTTGTAAGAAGAAAAACTTTAGTTAACAATGTATAGTTAATTGTTTTTGATATCTGTTATATTTTTTCTCTATTAAGTTTCTTAATTAGGTGAATAAATTATGGACATCCTGTAAATCTAAAGCTAAAATTTAGTTTAATTTTAATTAATTAAATTCTGGTGTTAAATCTAAAGATACTTTGTTTGAAATCATATGTAAAATTATTTATACTAATTTAATACTGAATGAAATAAAAATGTAAAGTTTTAATTTATTTTTTTGTAAACAATAATATGAATTAATAATCTACTTGTTTGTGTAAATAAATTTGTCTTTCAATGTATTTAATAAAAAATTATTTTAATGAAAGAAATTTTGGTTAAAATATTATAATAATAATGTTTGTATTAATACAGATAAAGAAACTTACAAGTATTTTACTTTTAGTGTGCTTATTAGCTCAAATGAAATTCTGAAAATATCAGATTTTGGTACCAGTCGTCAGTGGAATGAAATTAGTACTAAAATGTCTTTTGCTGGAACTGTAGCCTGGATGGCTCCTGAAATTATTCGTAATGAACCATGTTCAGAAAAGGTTGATATATGGTAATATATATTTTTAGTCAAATAAGTAAATTAAATTAAGCAAATTATTAAATAATATAACTATATATTTTTTAATTCTAGGTCTTTTGGTGTTGTGGTATGGGAGCTTCTTACATGTGAGGTTCCGTATAAAGATGTAGATTCGTCAGCAGTTATATGGGGAGTAGGAAGCAACAGTCTTCATCTTCCTCTTCCTTCTACTTGCCCAAATGGATTCAAGCTTTTAATGAAACAATGTTGGTATGTTATCAAAAAATTAGCATTTTTACTTATAATTTTTAATATTTGGATTCATATTATATATAAATTGTAGCTCTTAAAATTATGAAATTTTTAATTATATATTTTGCTTTTAATTCATTTATGATGATAAATTATCATATATTGTATATTATATCTCTAAGGCTGATCTAATAAAATTAATTTTTTTAATATATTTTTGTTTATCATCTATTTATTTATGAATAGTTTATCTCTAAAAATGTTATGTAGAAAGTATTTTTAGTGTAATGAATTAACATATCTGTCGTAATTAAAATGTAATTAAAACACAGTGTAATTTTAATAGCCTGGAATAATACATAGAAATTCTTTCTGTTTAAAAGGCTAAAACAAAAATGGAAAATGATATAAGAAAATATATTATTTAGAAAGAGATTGAACTTTTTGTAAAGTTCTTATAACATGAAGGCATTGCATTAATAATTTGCTAAACCAATTACTCAATATATACAATAATTAAAGTGTTCAATGTTTTGTATTTTATTTTATTTTTTAATTATTTTCTGTTGCTATTGAGTAAAAAGCCATTTTTGATGACTTCAAAATGTTTTGATTTCAAAAAATTCTGCATAGTACCCAAAAGCATTTTAAAACTGTGTAATTAAGTATAATATAGTAAAATATAATAAAGTAATATATATAATATCTGTATAATAAAGTAAACCTTTATTTTTACTTTCCTTTTCTGAAAGTAGTGAAGCAAACTGCATAGATTCAGGCCTCGACAACACACAAAATGTATCATTTTTTTTACAAATTTTAGCATATACAGCCATTTTCACTACTTTCGAACACAATACTTCCTGATATATAATACAGCGAATGGGGTAAAATTTACTATTGGGGAAAATTTCATTTTATTTAGCAAATAATTTAGCTACAAACCCTTTCATAGACTTTCTTAAAAATATCCTTACCTGTAGTAGTATCAGTAAGAGAGAGAACATCAAGCAGTTCTTCAGTGACAGTAAGATGTCTATTACAAGCACAAATAAATATGGCCACTTCTGCCAATCTAGTAATATCTATAGTTTCATACTGCAATTGAAAAAGTCCAAGAATTTTGTAATTTGAATTCAAGATTTTCACTGATGTTAGCTGCAATTTCATTTCATTTTTTCTGCAATAGAATTTTTTTATAGCAAAATACTCTGAATAGCTAACTTTTTTTGGAGAAATTTATTTTTACTAAAACTTTTCAATGTTTAGCTATAAGTTTCACATAATAACTACACTTTACAAATCTTTAACTCTATTTCCTCTTTACAAACTTCTAACTCTATTCTAAAAACACTCTATTTTATTAAAGTAATCTAATGTTTTCGGTCAATTAATTGACCTTCATCAAGATTGAACAATTTTTTGATTTATGATGAATGAAATTGATTATGGAATGTTCTTAACTTTAAAAATTTTCTTAACACCTATTGCACATAGATAAATAAAATCTACAGACTGATAACATACAAATACTGTATTTATTCACATATAAGTTATCTGGGTTGTTTGAATCGTTTTTGTGTATTGCCAGGAGTACAGATGAATAGCAATAGGAAAAGCAAAGCTTCTGAATTGAATTCCAAAATTACACAGGAGCCCAATATAAGTTTTAATCCATTCCCACGTAAAAACGATAATTATTTGGAAATTTGAAGAAACTCATAAGTGTAATTGACGAAGAGTGAATTGGACTATTAAGAATTGGCAAAAAAGGTTTCCAATTGTCCAGTTTTACATGAATAAATTATGTTGTCAAGTTTACAAGATTTTTTCTTGAAGTTTAAAATGCCAGTAATTTTTGCGGGACAATGTGTGCATTTACATGCATTTGATATCTTATTTCTTATTAAATGAAATAAAATTAGAATTGTATTAATAAATCTAATTTTCTTTATTTTGATCTTTAAAGTCACACCTTGTCCTATATGCGAGATTGTCTTATATTCGAGTAAATACGGTATATACATACACTAATTATACACATAAAAATAAAAGTAAAAATAAAAATTAATAATAAAATAAATAAATAGAAAGGTAGATAAATAAACAAGTGATGTTATAATGGGCACCTACTAATGTCTATATTTTTTAGCTGTCCATGCTTTTTCTTTTGTTGATATGTTCATAATGCACCTACTCTCTATGCTGCGGAGACTTTATATGATTTTCTAAAGTTTATAGCCTGTCCTGCTAGAGGCTATGTGAATTGGCTAGGTGAAGAGGCTATGTGCTATGCTCTTGTGAATACACTAGGCTTCTTCATATTTAATGTCTTCTGTCCTGAACCTTTTGTATTATTTCTGCTCTTTCCCATTTCACTGAAACCTCTGTTGGGTATGCTATAACATATGTCGCTAAGGCAGTGACTGGTTGCTCATTCTGTATGTTTCTTTTGTGCTCTTTTATTCTTTCTTTTAATGACTTCCTTGTAGCTCCAATGTAGTACAGTTCTTTTTACCGAATCGTCTTGTATGGGTATTCTGTAACTTCCAGGAATTTCAAGGCTCTGGGGTATACTGTTGGATTCCTTTTAAAGAGTATTTTTTTAGTTAGTAGCTTTTTTTTTTTGTAAATGCAGGTTAAGGGTGCCATGTATTCCATTACAGTGTATTCTTCTACTGTTTCTCATTTCGTTATTGTATTTTCTTGTTTTATTGATTAATGCCTTTACTTTATTTTGATTGACTCTGCCATGCCATGCTAGCTCTTTGATGTGTTTTAATTCTTTACATCTGTCCTGCACTTTGCTGCAATGTATTTACGCTCTTTTTATGTGCCCTGAAAGCTGCCAGACAGCTAAAAAATAGGCATTAGTAGGTGCCCATTATAACATCACTTGTTTATTTATCTACCTTTCTATTTATTTACATTTTTATTATTATTATTAATTTTTATTTTTATGTGTATAGTTAGTGTATGCATATACTTTTACGTTATTAGTCTGTACATTTTATTTATCTATTTTCAGACTTGCACAATAAGCAATGAGAACACTTTTAAAGTTAAGAACGTTCCATAATCAGTTTCGTTTGCCATAAATCGAAAAATCGTTTGATCCTGATGAAGGTCAATTAATTGAATGAAAACATTAGATTACTTTAATAAAATAGATTGCATGTTAAAGGTTTGTAAAGTGTAGTTATTTTTCGTAAGTGCAGTTTAAGAAGAATATAAGTTTCACAATAACAAAACTAGCTTACATTACCCTTTTGCTGTCTCCAAAGGTTACTTTTTAAATATAGATTTTTCTTTATGAAGTAGAAATTTTAAATTTTTAAAATTTATCTTTTATTTATAATCAATGTATTTCATAGTGACCTTTTTAAAAGCAAAATGATGTGCCAGATAGTATATTGAAATGCTGCAACACAGTTCAGAAATTTTTGGAGATTTTGATTATACATTTAGAATGGTCAAAAATTATGGTTTTCTGTCAGCAATAAACAATGACTCTTCTACAGAGGGCCATGTGATTATCAATGTCAGCACTACTGTGTGCATCAGTTGTTTATAATTAAAAGCTTGTTGTCATGCCAACAATAAATTTTTATAAACTGGATGGCAATAAGTTATTGAATAAAATAACTCCAGTAATTCAGCAAAAAATGAAGAAATTTAATAAGTAAGCAAACATTTTCCACCATTTTTAATGGTTATCAGGTTGTAGAATCAAACATCAAATACCAATGTTTGATTGTTACAGAGTTCCATCATTTTTAAATTGTATGTAATGTTCTATATTTAATAATCAATTCTTCAATCTGATTATGATTTTTATTAAATTTCATTATTTTTGCTGATTACTGGTGTTGTTTTATTCAATGCAATAAATTTTCAGTTACAAAAATAGTCTACTGATAAAATGGTAAAGACTGGTTGGTCTTCCACTTTGGGGAATAAAAGTATAGATTAATCTAGAATTATTTAAGGTAGATTAACAGGACCGCATGACTCACAAGCTGACTAGATTCATAATGTTCATTATTAAAAGGTAGTCTTAGTGAGTGTTCACAGGACAAAGAGAACCAAAACTTTAACCTTTTTCAAAATTAGCATTTTTAACATTATCTTCTTTAAGATTTATTGTTTTAATAATTTAGAGTTAAATATTTTTTGTTACAAAAATAATAACTTATTGTATATAATTATTGATGTGAAATTTATTTACAGGAGTGCAAAACCAAGAAACAGACCTTCGTTTCGACATATATTGATGCATTTGGATATTTCAGCAGTAGAAATTCTTAGTACACCGAAAGAAGCTTATTTTAAAACACAAGTATGAATGATATTTGTACTATTTTTTATTTAGTTATACTGTAATTTATGTAATTTTTAAAAGTTTATAAATTAAATTATTTGGTGCAATAATTGTATTTAAATTAACATATAAACAAACCTTAGATGATAATCGGATGCTTTTTTATTTAGGCTGCATGGAAAGCAGAAGTCAAATTATGTATGGAAAAGATAAAATATAATGGAAGACATGTCTCACATGCAGAAGAAGATTTAGTTAACAGAAGAAGAGAAGAACTTAGACACGCACAAGATGTTCGAGAGCATTATGAAAGAAAATTGGAGAAAGCAAATAATCTCTATATGGAATTAACAGCTTGCATGCTTCAAATAGAAGAAAGAGAAAAGGATTTGATTAAGTAAGATTTTTATTTATTCTTTTTCTTAGATATAAAAAAAATAAAATAAACATGCTATTTCCTAAGCTAAGTTATATATCTAGTGAAAGAATTTCTGAAGATTATTACACAATCATGAAAATATTTTTAAATTTACCATTCAGGAATTATTAAAATATTATAAAAATATCTATCTACAGAGATATGTTATGTTATATTAATCTATGAAAACCAATTTTTTTAATTGTTAAATACAATTTTTCATTTATTGGTTTTTGAAATATAATTACTAACTTTCAAATTTATTTATAACAAATGCTCTTATTGTAAAAAAATTACTGCCAGTGTGCAAATATGATAACTAAAAATAAAATTCTGTTTTAGGAAAAATGAAACAATAACTAAAAACAGTAATACTACTGATTATTTATTTTTTCTTTCTAAATATACACATTTATAGTCCCCATTTATAGTATTTTTACATTAAAGCTAGTTTAATAATTAGATCAATTTGGAGTGGGACTTAAACTTGTATCTTCTGCTTACTATGCTGCATGTAACAAGTAGTGTAACTGGCAATACATCTGCACAGTAAGCAGGAATTGCAGGTTTGAGTTTCACTCCAGCAAATGTTTTCTTTCAGAACATTCTAAATTTAAATTTAAAAATTATTTCTAATTAAATTTACCATGAGATGGCAACCTAACTGCCTACCTCTAGACAAATTTTCCTATATCTAATGATTAAACTACTTTTAATGTAGCCTGACAAATTTGCAGATTGGCAATTTAATATAAATAATTTTGGGAGTAAAAGTTGGAAAATGAATTACAAAATGTACTCTCTTTTGCTGTCTCTGATTTAATATTATTTTGTTTTATAAGTTATAATTAATTCATTATCTGATGGTAATAATGGTTGATTTATTTCTCAAGTAACTTATTAACCTTTATTTTATTTAAGCTTTAAGTTAATTATAATATATATATTTTTTTAATTTTAGACGTGAGCAGTCAATGCAAATGAATACATCTGGAAACAAACCATACAGGAAAAGGATTGTTAGACCTCTTTTGAAAGCACATGAAAGATTTCACAAGAAACGCACATATAAGTCACAATGTGAACAAATAAGGTAAATAAATAGATTTTAATTTAATTCTAATAAATTTTTAAAATAAAACTTATTACATCAAATATAATAATAATAAGTAAATAAAAATAAGTATTAAAATTTAATCAGGAAAACTTTTAATGTTTGAACAAAACACTTAGGACAAGAATTTTTGATTAATTTTTTGTTTTTTGCTGCATATAAGTAACATAATTGATAAATTTGAATTTACAAGGGTTATTTTTTAAATAAGGCCCGTTTGTAAATGACAGTGAGAATGACGTGCGATTGCAGCAGTGTTCATGAGCATCTGCTTTCAGCATGCTTTGCACGTGTTTAGATGCCATTTGCAGCCATATCGTCTATCTGTGTGCTGAACTGTAGAAGTTTATAATGTTTAAGAAAATTGAGTTGCCCGCCGACTGTAAGATATGATCTGTTATTCGATTTCAGGACGAAAGATCATGGCAACTGTCTTTTGGGACAGGAAAGGGACTTTATTAGTGGATTTTATGCCAAGACGCACAACAATCAATTTTGATGCTTATTGTGTGATCTTAGAAAACTCCGCCGTGCCATACAAGACAAGTGGCGTGGCCTAATGTTTTCTGGTAAAATTTTTGAGCGGTATGACAAATGTTTGAACAAAAATGGAAATTATGTAGAAAAGTAGATAAAAGTATATAGAATATGGGGAAAAATATATTTTAATGATAATTACAGTATTTTTCTTCTTATTAAAAAATGGACCTTATTTAAAAAATAGCCCTTGTATATTAAACAGTAATATACAATATGATATACAATGGTGCCTCGTATAACGTACTTAAGACATTCCAGGTGCACATATGTTAAGTGAAAAGTCTATTATAATAAATGCATTTTTCCATAGAAATACATGTTAGAATATAATTCATTCCGCAACATAATGTAAAATCTGGAATTTTTGCTGATTTTTTTTTTTTCTAGAAACTAGAGTGGAAAACAACTTGAAAGAGGGAGAAATTTTAACTTCCCCTTTTTCCAAGGTAAACATTTGCCCATCTCGACAACTATTCCCACACTATGAACTTAAAAGTTGGTAGTTAACATACGATTTTGTCATTTTATTTGGGTTCCAGGGACAACTTTGAACTCTCCGCACACCTTTTACCTCTTAACTGATTAGTCACATGACAGTTTTTCCACCGCAAAATGATAAAAGCCACTTCTCTCCCTCCCTCTGGAGAGTCGTTTCGAGGATTTAACTTTAACTTGTGTCCTATGTTTGTTCTCTAGGATATCGACATAAAAAAGAGGTATGGAATCAACTTCTGTGAACTCTCTCTTGGCCGCCCTTGGTTTTGGAAACTAAGGAAATTCGCTCAGAATTTCTCTGATAGCTTATTGTATAGTCTATGGAATTAACCAATAAATCATTATTTCTTTGTTATATTGGTGTCCTCGTTTACTCGTATATCATCTGTCACCTTACCGACGGCACTCCTCCCTCCTCCACTCGACCCAAAAAATTTTAATCCCATTTCCTTGGGATAAACTAAAGAAAACTTAAGCCATCTCTGACTAGTGGGCAAGTCCCTCAGACTTCAAAGTCGATCCAAGAATGTAGTCCTAACTCCTCAGTTCTCACAATAAAATAATCGTACTGTACCATAAAAAAATGAAAATGAAGCAGTCATCAATTATGCTGGGTAGCCAGATGTGAAGAGGAGGTGGAGGAACACTTTCTTCACACATTCATACAGGTACAGACTTTTTACACATTGCAGCAGGTCTCTTTTTATTGTCTTTAAATCGGAGTCATATTCAGGAGAGGCTACCGGAGCTTGCAGGGTCAACTCCTCTTGTTTCATCCTTTGTTTTTTGGCAGCTGGCTTCTTGAAAAACGTGTCCAAGGTAGTCTGTTTCTCTCTCTTTTTCAACACCTGTCGGAAATGACATGCAAGTGTGTCATTGTAGAGATCACTGATCCTGTTAGCCTCAGCTCTGTTTGGATAATGAGTGTTGGTAAACTCCTGAACCTCTCCCCCATTTGACAAGGAAGTTTTTGTCAACTTTCATTCCATCTGATGATGTCTTGCTTTGTTTCAATTGAAATCACCTTTCTGTTTTTTTAGAAGCCATGATTTGCACAACACTTGAATAAATGTAAATACCCTGCACTGAGGTGATGTATGTAATAAACAAGGGAGCAAGCCGAATCCCAACGGGAGCTCTGTACTTCAGATATACTAATAA